TTGCAACATCACATATGCGTCATGTTTGTCTGACAATCATGCCTGCTGATTTTTCAGGCTGTATGGATGATATGAAAGGCAAAAAAACAACAAGTGCAGCACAATGCATTTTACATTCATATGGATATATTTTTTTATTGACTTTTTAAAATATATATGTGTATTTATGATGATTGTAAATAAATAGAGGCTAGTTAGGGCTAGTCCGTCATAGAATGGATTTTCTACTCAAATTTAGAATATTCACACTGCTAATATAAATAATATTTTTCATACCCTACACTATAGTTTAAAGGGTATAATTTGAGTTGGCCATTTGGTTTTGAAGTCCTCGAAAAAAGAAAAAACATTTTATATCGCCGCAAAAACTTGGGAGTGGTATGAGCCGAACAACTCATTAAACGGCAATGTAAATAATCTAACTTTTGCTTTACCAGTAGTTTGAAATAATGGCTTATTCTTTCATTAGTTTCGTATTGGGTGAAGGGATAGGGACTTTCGTACTTTTCTTAATATGTAAAGAGGATAATTTTCGCCCAAATTCCAAAATTAATAATTATACTTTTTTCCTACACTATATGCCAAATTTGGTACCATATAGCACTTTTTGTGCACCTACTTCCGGAAAGACATTCTTTCCTCAAACTTTTTATACCCTACACCGCAAGGTGGTCAGGGTATTATGTCTTTGTGCATTTGTTTGTAACATGGCAAAAGGAAACAAGATAGACCCATAGTTACTTTTGACGATCTCCATAGAATCACTTTCTGAGTTGATTTATGCATGTCAGTCCGTCTGTCCGTCCGTCCGCCCATGTATTCTTGTGAACAAAATGCAGGTCGCATTTATTATTCGATTGAGATGAAATTTTCCAAACAACATTTGCTTGGCCCAAGAACGAACCCTATTGAAATTGGAGATAATCTGTAAAAAATTAGATATAGCTCACATATATATCTTCGTCCGATTTGCCTTTTATTGTGCACCAAAAGTGTAATATCAGCCCGAATAGTATGAAGTTTTGCACATACAACCAAATTAGGTCTGAAAATAAGTATGCCAAATTTGATTGAAATCGGTTCAGATATAGCTATAGCTCACATATATATTGTTCATCCGATTTGTTATTTTTGTCCTCCGCAGCCGTAATATGCACTCTGTAACAACAATATTTGGGGAAATATTTCAAATGCAGCTCAAAAATACCTTTGCTAAATTTTATCGAGATCGTTTCAGATTTAGATATAGCTCCCATATATAACTTCGTCCGATTTACCTTTTATTGTACACCAAACGTCTAATATTTGCGCAAATGGGATAAAATTTGGTACATGCAACCGAATTGAGTCTAGAAGGTAGTATGCCAAATTTGGTGAAGATCGGTTCAGATATAGCTATAGCTCCGAAATATATTGTTCACCCGATTTTTTGTATTTGTTACCCGCAGCCGTAATATGCACTCCGTAACAACGATATTCAGGGAAATATATCAAATACAGCACAGAAAAATCTTTACCACATTTTATCGAGATCGGTTCAGATTTGGATATAGCTCCCATATAAATCTTTATCTGATTTCAAATTAATTGTGCACCAAATGGGCAATACAAGTCCGAATTTAAGAGATACAAATGCTTCGGCATATTTAGTCCTTTGAACTTTAATTTACAATTATAATCATAGCGTGTATGATGAAATTATCCCATAAAATCTTTTAATTGTTATGTGGAGCTCTAGTAAATTAGCAAAGTGGTGTAGGGTATCATAAAGTTGGTCCCGCCCGACGTTAGGTCTTTCTTTACTGGTGTATTTTGAATTTTACCGAGGAGGATATTAGTAAAACCATTGCACCATGGACACACATCCAATTTTTCTGTTCAAAACTGCTTTAACGTCTTCGTATGAAAATTTTAGAAACCAACAGTGACCTCAATATCAAATTTCAGAATTTCAGCCCAATGCCTTCACCAAATACAAAATTTAGTAACATTTCGTACTTTTCGTACAATAACAATACACATTTACAAAACCACCTCCATTTCTTTACTGCAAATTACTAAAGAGGCCTCAATATCAAATTTCAGCTTTAGACATTTTTAGTAACGTATAGTACTTTTCTTATAATTTCTCTAAGACACCATCAATTATCTCAATATAAAATTTCACGGTTCCAGTTCTTTCCCTTCTGCCGATACAAAATTTAGTGGCAAATTAGCTACTTTCGTACAGTTAAAACGTATTTTCAAAAAATATCCATATCTCAAACTCAGTTATCAACACAGACTTTAATATCAAATTTCAGGATTTTAGCACTATTTCCAATTCTTTCGTGCAATTATAGTATACATTTCCGAAACCACATCCATATGTCCAGGTTACCCATGAATATCGACCTTACCGAATTTGATATTTCAAACACTATCTGTGCACCCAATTCCAACTTGCACCAAATACAGTACTATTTAGTACTTACCGTACACTTGTAGTGCACATTTCAAAAACCACCTCCATATCTCAATTCTACGTACCAAGAGAGACCTCATATCAAATTACGGGATTCCAGGTCTATCCATTCATAATACTAAATTAAATTCTGTTAGTACTGTTCGTACAATTAGAGTACACATTTCCAAAACCACCACCATATTTCAATTTCAGATACCAAAAGAAATCTCATTTTCAAATTAGGGGATACCAGCACTATCATTTTAAAACCGCCATCAGTCTCAAAACACAGATATCATCAGAAAAATAAATATCAAATTTCAGAATTTTATATCTACCCATTCACCCAATACCATATATAGTACCATTCCTTAATTTTCGTACCGAAACCACCTCCATATGTTCAGACTATACATGGACAGCGACCCTAATACCACATTTCAGATTTCAATCATCAAAATGTACCAAATAACCATAATAACATTCAAAACCAAAATTGTTAAAATTTAGTACCGTTTAGTACAGTTCTTACACATTTTCAAGAACATCTCCGTATATCAACCAAAACCTCACTAAATTTCAAGATAATACCTCTGTTCGTTCCCATCATTCCAAATGGTACCAAAATTAGTGCATTTTTGTATTTTTGGTGCACCTATAATTCGAATTTCCAAAAACCCTTGGGTTCGCCAATTTAACACAACATCAAAGATCCTCATTCCAAATTTCAGATTTCCGGCTCTATTCCCTCGCCACATACCAAATAATACTATTAAGTACTTTTTAATACAAATTTCCAAATAGGGGTTATCCTAACCCCAACTCCCAAAAAGTGTCCTTTCTCAAATACCAAATTTTGGTACCATTTTGTACTTTTTTAGTACATATATCCCAAGCCAACCTCAAATCTCAACACAACTAACAAAAAGTTCCCCTCACAAAATTTCCGATTTTTAACTCTATCTCTTCACCAATTATCAAATATAGTACCATTTAGTACTGTTCGTACTTTTTAGTAAGTTTAAGTACTTTTTAATACAAATTTCCAAATAGGGGTTATCCTAACCCCAACTCCCAAAAAGTGTCCTTTCTCAAATACCAAATTTTGGTACCATTTTGTACTTTTTGTACTTTTTTAGTACATATATCCCAAGCCAACCTCAAATCTCAACACAACTAACAAAAAGTTCCCCTCACAAAATTTCAGATTCTTAACTCTTTCTCTTCACCAATTATCAAATATAGTACCATTTAGTACTGTTCGTACTTTTTAGTAAGTTTAAGTACTTTTTAGTACAAATTTCCAAATAGGGGTTATCCTAACCCCAACTCCCAAAAAGTGTCCTTTCTCAAATACCAAATTTTGGTACCATTTTGTACTTTTTGTACTTTTTTAGTACATATATCCCAAGCCAACCTCAAATCTCAACCCAACTAACAAAAATTTCCCCTCACAAAATTTCAGATTTTCAACTCTATCTCTTCAACAATTATCAAATATAGTACCATTTAGTACTGTTCGTACTTTTTAGTGCATTTTTCCAAAATCACCTTCAAAATCTCAAATATACACATTAACAGTGACTCCAAAATATAAACATTTCAGAATTCCAGCTCCAAGTTCCTTATTAAGTACAGTTCCTAAACTTGGTACACATATTAAAAAGCACCATCCTATATCAACCCTATTCCCTCAACCTAATTTTTATGCGAAATGTCAAGATTCTAGTTCTATCCGTTCACACAATATCAATTGATACCAAACTTAGTGTTTTTCTTTTTTTTTTTTGCTTTGGTATATCTACACTGTACCACATCAGCGTCTCTTTCAATATGTTAGAATTTTAGATGCATCCGTTTGTCGAATGCAATGGTTTAAATTTTTAGTGACTTTTTGTACAATTATAGCCCCTATTTCCTAGACCTAGCCTTACCTCACCCCTACACACTTAAATTGACACACATGCAAATTTTCAAGATTTTAACTTCATCCGTTTCGCCTGGGCTTTGATGAAACATTTAGTCACTCATTGAAATATTTTCGAATTACATATTCCGAAATGAGCTGCAACACATGAACCAATACACAAAAATAGACTTTTTATGCATAAAAACCTCGGTATCGACCTCACCTTTTCTATGACATTAGCAGAAACAAAATCGATTACGGCATTCCAGAGAACATCAAATACTAACACAAAGCAATGTCTATAATCTATATAGTAGACATTCTTTCATCAAATTTAGTGCCTTTAAGTACACTTACAGTTCAAATTTCCTCAAAGCCTTTAGTACGTACAAGATTCTAGCGAGAGAGAGATTAGGACAGAGAGCAAATCTTAGGCACCTTCCCAATTTATATAAAGAAAACGCTTGCTCTATTTTGAACGATAATATGAATGAAGAGTAGACTCCGAAAAAAAGTCCACGCTTCAGCAAAATTTTTCTCTCTTGAGTAAAAACGAGCAAACCTGTGCTATGCTATACATAAATTGGGACATGTTCCTTAAATTTCCCTACGTCATAAAATAACTTTTAGAAAAAATAATTTAAGTATTTTCAAAAATATATATATTTTTAATAATTTATCAAAATAAAATGAATAAAAAAAATAAAATTACATTTAATTTTAATTACGATACATCAATAACAAATTTACAATAACCTCAAAATTTAACGACGACGACGTCTTGAACTTCTGCGTGCCGAACGGCTGCGAGATCTGCGTCTTCGTTTCTCACCCATTTGACGTCTTCGCATACCTCTTTGATTGCCATAACAATCGCTTGTATCTTTCGCTTGCTCGGCCTTCGCTTCTACAGCATTCTTTTCCACATTACCACCATCAGCTTCGTTGGCATCTTCGGGTATAAAATAAAATTCATTCTCCTTCTCTATATAACCATATTTAACCCCAGCCTCCAGGGCGGATTGTGCCTTCTTCATGATGTTTTCTACTGGGGTGCCGAAATTTTCTACCAGATGTTCAACCACTTCAGTTAAGTTAGCTGGCTCTTGAATTTCTTCCAGGGCCATAAGAATTTCCTGACCTTTTACTACGGGAGCCATTTTTATGCACGAAAAATTTGCGCTTGTTTGAAATTAAAAATATTGAAAAAAACGGAAATTATTTTGAATCTTCCGAGTTTGAAAATATAATGAAATGAAAATTTATAAAATTTTGAAATAAATTTATTGGCATTCTATGTTTTTTCATGGCCTTCCCATTTAATTTTATGTCATTAAAAAATCACAAGTGTTTTGATGAAAGTGTTGAGGTGGGAAGAACGGTATAAAATAGAGAAAAAATATACTACTGTCCTTTTTTATAGATTTTTGGGGTTAATGATAATTTGTAGAGCAGTAATACGATTCATGGTTATGATAAAATGTAAGATATAACATTGCGTAATCACAGTTAAACCGGTTAACAAAAACAATTAATGAATTTTCATTATTTTTGAATCTGATATTTGAATACCCTCCAAAATGTGCAACGATTTTGGCAATTCAAAATCTTGAAAATACCGAATGTCGTCTATACGACGACGTAGACCTGCATAGGCAACTTTTGTTATAAACCATTATAATATTCAAATACGAAACTTGAATAACTTGAAGAAAAGACAATTTTCTGTCATAGGCTGTAGTTCCCACCACGAACTTCAAATACCAAATTTAAAACAATTCCGGTGAATAATGTCGCTAAAATCATCAAAATACCGAATATCGGGAGGTACCGTTATATGGGAGCTATGCGAAAACGTGGACCTGCATAGACACTTTTCCGTCATTGGCTGTCGTATCCATTACGTACTTCAAATACCAAATTTGAAGCAATTCTCAAATACCAAATATTGTTTTTGTGTAGTGCATTTTACGCATGTCGGGGACTTTACCACGAAATCGGATGAAACATATATATAAGAGCTATACCTATATCTAAAACGATTTTCACCAAAACTTGAAGTACTTGCTTCTGGGCTGAATTTCGTCGGAAGTGCCAAAATTAAGTCAATTTGGGCTGATATTAGCCATTTAGTGCACAAAAAACCTGAAATCGGTTAAAGATATATATGGGAGCTATATCTTAATTCGAACCGATCTTTACTAAATTATAGACACTAATTTCTGAGCTGTATCTGATATCTGGTACCGAAGATCATTGTTGTATAGTGCATATTACGCATGTGAGGGACTTACAACCCTAAGCGGATGAAACATATATATGGGATATAGCTGTAGCTAAATCTGAACCGATTTTCATAAAAATTGAAGAACTTGTTTTTAGGATAAACTCAGTTGGAGTTGCTAAGATTCAGTTCATTTGGGCTGATATTGGCCATTTGGTCCACAATATACCTGGAATCGGAACAAGATATTTATATCCAAATCTGATCCTTTCTCGATAAAAATTGACAGAGGTATTTTCGGCTGTACCTGATACCTGGTAACAAATATCAATCTTGTGAAGTGCATATTACGCTTGTGAGGGTCTTTAACACCAATTCGGATGAAACATATATATGGAAACTACAACTACATCTGAACGGATTTTCAAAAAATTTGATGTACTTGCTTCTAAACTGAATTCGCTCGGATGTGCCAAAATTCGGGTCATTTGGACTGATATTCGTCATTTGGTGCACAAATAACGCGAAATCGGTTGAAGATATATATGGGAGCTATATCTAAATTTGAACCGAGTCTCACCAATTTTAGTAGGATTTGTCCTTGGGCCAAACAAATTTTGCTTAAAAATGTTATCTCATTCGGATAATAAATGCGACCTGCACACAAAAATACCTGGACAGATGGACGGACGAACTGTCGGACTGACATACATAAGTCGACTCAGAAAATGTTTCTATGAAGATCCTCAAAAATAACTATGGATCTATTTGGCTTTCATTTACATGTTACAAACAAATGCACAAAAACATAATACCTTTACCACGACATGATGTAGTGTATAAAAATCCGTACCAAACTTATATTAGTTCGAATAGACCATTAAAAGGTAATGCAAACCAATTTCAGTCTGCATTACCAGTATGCTAAAACGAATAGGTAATTCCCAAGAAGCTTGCAGATTAAAAGAATAAACCGTCATCCGGCTTTATGAAACCTGGAGGACAAATGTTAAATCTTCAAAAGGCAAATAATGCCTTCACTTTGTTTAAAATTCACAAGTGTAGCGATGAAATAAAATAGAGAATTAAATTTAACCTCCAATCGAATTGGCCTACAAACGTATGCATTGGTGTTGATAATCATTGCAATACTGCTCTGGCTTTTTTCGAATGTAAATATTTATTAAATATGCTTATCGGCGCTATTAGTATCCAAAGCCATTAGCAACAGTCCATAATATTTCTGATATCGCTGCCACACACACACGCTTTATATTTTATGGAATTCATTTACAAATTTGTCGTTTCAACTACATCTGGACAGAATATGAATAAACGAATCGAACAATTTGTTTTTACTATTTGTAACAACAGATGATATAAGAATATACTATAATTAATTAAGATACAACATCAATATAAGTGGGTTATTCCGCAATTGATTTAAAAAATATGGTCTATACCCTAACTAAAATCAGGGGTATCTTATAGAAGGGCTATACAAAAATGTAGATTTTCATTAAGGTAAGGTTTAATTTAAGTAAGGTTTCTATATAATGAGATCTCAAAATACCTAAATTTATCGAAGTTAAAATAAATTATTAAGTCTATTACAAAAGGTTGACCGACATACCCATTTTTAAAGGCAATGATTTTATAAGTAAGTAAGTATCATAGGCTGTAGTACCCATTAGGATCTTCAAATATGAAATTTAAAACAATTCCGTTGAATAGTGTCGCTAACATCATCAAAATGACGAAAAAGGGAGGTTCGTTTATATTCGTCTTTCTTCGGCACTAATTTCCAACCATTTTAACTGTAATTGAAAATTTCTGATTTCGGAAAATTCTACATTTTAAGATATTTTTAAAGCATTTTGGTTGAAAATCGCACTCTTTTGTCGATTGACCAGCCCTTCAAATAGTTACATAATACGTAGTAGTACTTCAACATTTCTTAAATTTTATCCGGGCTGGGCCGGGTCAATATTTAAAAAAATGACCCTGAACATCTATAAAGAAAGTCTTAAAGTCGGACGGGCCGACTTTATTATACCCTACACCCCTTTGCATATTTGGTAGAGCTTCACTTAACAAATGACAGTTTTTATGGGGAATTTGTGAGAACTAAATCATACCAATTACGATTGTAGTTATGATTTAATGTGCAAAGGAACATATGTATGAGAGGAATATCCTCCTCTGAATCGACTCCTACTAAATTTGTCGGGGCATTTGTGCCTTTTCAAATCGGGTTTATATTACCCATTTGGTGCACAACTAACTTAAATCGGATAAAGATATAGAAGGGAGCTATATCCAAATCTGAACCGATCTCGATAAAATTCGGCAATGGTGTTTCTGAGCTATATTTGATATATTTCCCCAAATATCTTTGTTACGGAGTGTATATTACGGCTGCGGAGGACTAAAAATAACAAATCGGATGATTAATATATATGGGAGCCATAGCTATATCTTAACCGATTTCGTTCAAATTTGGCATACTTATTTCCTTAATCTGGTTATATGTACAAAATCCCATATTAATTGGGCTGATATTACAAGTTTGGGGCACAATAAAAGGCAAATCGGACGAAGATATACATGGGGGCTATATTGTTACGTATCGAATGTTCATTTCGAAGAGTAATAAAAGGATTGGCGAATTTCATATAACCTGCAAAGTATGTGGAGGGTATGAAAAACAATCGTGAGTGATGGTGGTAGTGATGGGTGAGATAAAAAACTGCAACAAAGTCAAACGCCATAATTTTTACATTTTTATTTTTTTATTTTTTTGAATGAAAGCAAAAAATGTCGGAAATAGCAACAAATTTTAGAATAAGTTTAGATTTTTTTCGAATTGGTCAGCTTTGGCACGAATTATGGCCTTCAAACGGCCAATGAAACCGTCACACGCTGCCCGAATGTTGTTCTGCGGTATTTTGGCCCATTCCCCGGCGAAGCGCTTGCTTTAGGTGATCGAGACTTTGGCATTTTTTTATTTTTTCGTGATGATATTCGGCATTTCTTTTGATTAATACGAGCAAAGAGCGACCATCAGCTGTTGTGGGGGCCCACACCATCACCATTTCCGGCGCTTGAGTTCTGGTGGTCAACCGAAGGTGCACATTTTCAGTTGACCTCTTTGGTAAGTTAACACGATCATTTTGTTTGTTTACGACTGCTGGACAACGAATGATTTCTCATTGGAGAAAACCAAATTCGACCGTTCACCACTTCCGGCCAAGCGAAGCAACTCTTTAGCTCTTTTGAGTCTATTTTCTTTCTGTTACGGTGTAAGTTCTTGCACTTTTTGCAATTTCAATATCTTTATCCCGAGCTCATTTTTCAATATTTGAATGTAATATTGCGATATGTTCAGCTCATGAGTCATTTTTCGGCCACTGCGACACAGGTTTCGATCAAGTCGCTTCTTTACTTTTCGAACCTTTTCTGCTGATGTTGCTGTTTTCTTCCATCCACTTCTTTGGCGGCGGGCTAAGCTACCGGTATCACGGTAACGAGCGATGGTACGAGACACAAAAGATTTATTCACATTTAAATGCTGGAGTGATCTAACGATAAGCACTTATGGTTTTCCAGTCAAATAAAAATAAATCACACTATCACGCTTAAATTCCATCACGAATAACTATTTTTCTAGAAAATTCTTACCAAAATGCTTTTGTAAACTTGTAAACAATAAAATGAGCTGTCACTAGAATAATTTTAACAGCTGTCGTACGAGTGGCTTAGAAATGAAAACAGTGTAAAATTGCTTGCTTTTTTTTCATCTCACCCTGTATTTTAGAGAATTTTAAGGGTCTCAGACCCAATGGCCTGTTAATTTCACAGGACGCAAAAATGGAACCCAATATAATTTCACATTCCACTATACTAACTCAGATGTCTATTCAACAAAATTTGATTTTTTCTTCTCAACGAAACAAACGATCGGACATACCATTCCAAACAGCAGCTGTACTCCATCTTGTCGCAACCGGTAAACCATATTTCTAA